TAAGAAGCTTTCTAGTTTCTTCGCATATACGAGTATTTAAATGATTATACCTATCAGATGTATTGTAGGTAGAATAGAATAGAAAGTATTTATTTGTCTCAAAACAGGTTTCATATCTAGACATATAATACTAAGGGCAACTCAAAATTCTTTTGCTTTTTCAAAAAGTTTGCGTATTTCTTAAAACTGATTTCGATAGTCGCAATTACTCGATTTTGTATTATTTTGAGTTGTGCTAGTATTCATCTAGGAGTGCGGCATGTATTTACAAAAATGTTTGAGTCTTTGCTTAGCAGTATTATTTTCAAAAAAAGTTACGACTCTCTCTAAACCACTTTTATTTTGAATGAAACGTTTTTCTTTCCTCAAAACATTATTTCTGAAATGGCATTGCATCTATAAAGAAAACGTATCGCACAAATAATCTAATAGTTCAGTTTCCTCGAGCGAAAGCGAATAAAATATTCTTCGCTGGGACTCACTACGCTTATAATAAAAGAAATACAGCGAAGAATAACGCGGTGCCACAGCCACAGTGTGGTGAGCAGCGTTTAACATAAGTATTAAGATGTCGAAATAAAAAATATCTTTACTTGTATAGAGTAGAGATATTATCTAGACAGCTTAAAACATAGACGTTCTTTAATGCACATCACACAAAAGAGGCCAATAACAGAAATACAAAACCAAAACAGTACAATTTAAAGGTCTTGTCGCTAGGAAAACTCTTCGAAATGTTTACTTTAGTTACTTGAAAATAATTAGCTACTTTATATTGAAATCTACTGGGACGAAGTTGCTGAATGATGGCAGTACAAGAAACTGAAGCAACATTTAGGAATTTTTTGAGTGTCAGAGTTAAAAAGAAATCCACCACTCCAAATAAATTAATATGTACTACCAACAGAACAGTCATAGAAGTCGCTTCCTGCAGTACCTTGCATGAGTACTAAGGCAAATTGAAATGTGAACCTTTTGGGTACTACGGGCGGGCTATTTCATCATTTACATAATGTATAGTATAGTCTATTCTTTTGCCAGCTGTGCTCTACAAAAGTACTTGTACCCGTACCTACTATTAGTTAGGTAAGTTTAGTAAAAGGTGAAGGCTTTTCAGGCCCAAGTTTCTAAATATAGAAATTAATAGTCTATCATGTTCTGAAAGTGCTCAAATATGAAGACCCTGCGTATCATTTAAATAATTGTCTATCATGTTTATAGTAAGCTACTATTTTAGATATTATACACACGTACAGCCTAGGTGTAAGTGAATATAAAAGTATACCTGCTTCTCTCTGCTCAATGGACCGACGACTTCAAGGGGATAGCTGTTAGTGACTCTAAAACTCATAAAATTCTTCCCTCGTTATCAAAATGAGTTGACAAATAAAAAACGATTGCAGTACCCAATATTCTCTCGCAAACTTTGACCTTTATCGGCTTCTGTTCAGTTTGCTCAGAACGATTTGATACGATTCATTGATCATTGTCTAAAAATATTTATTTTTGGGCACGATTAAAAGTTTCGTAGCATGTTTTTTCTTTCAGTTTTGTTGTATTGATTAGTTCTAGTGTATTAGGAGACAATTGATTTTGTTTTGTTTTCTCTATCACAAAAAAATACATCTTATTTCCTAAGCCTCTAGGCTGTTACTACAACAGTACTTATTATTATTCTGTGCTACAACATCTAACTGACTATAACAAGAGAAATACTAAACTAAACAGAGCCTCTAATAAACATATTTGAATAGGTATGTACATGAATAGACTCTACATTCGCTTTAAACGCCCATGACTTGCAATAATATTAATTATTGCTCGTGTTAATTACAATTTGCCTCCAGCCAAATTCAAACCATGTGAAAGCAGTGCAGTAGTGTGCAGTCGTTAAAATGATATTAAAATTGAATAAACTAGCTGTGTAAACTTCGTACGCGTGAAAATAGTTTGAATATTTCCCGTTTTTGCCACATTTGTCTTTACTGCTCCACCCTTATTGACTGTAGGGTGATGTTATATAGCCTAAAGCCTTCTTACATAATGCGCTATCCAACACAAAAATATTACTTATTTTAAATTTGAACCAGTAAAGTTCTTGAGATGATTAGAGCGTTCAAGAAAACATATATACAAAAATTCGTGTCCTCTTTTGAATAAACTCTTCAGCTTTATATTAGTAAAGACTACATTATTTGAATCTCTCAAAATTGGAAATATTGGAGAGAGTGGAGAGTAACTCAAAGCCATCTGTTAAAACTAAACATGCAGAACTAAACTTATCTGAACCGAACGCTCATCTAAAATTCGTATGTCGACTTGCTACTTACGCTAGATTTCAGGCCAAATTGGAAGGTGTTTTCGTTGAATACAGCTTCTTCAATAAAATTTATTCAACACAGCCACTATCGTTATTCATTAGTGTGCACGTAATGCTAACTGAATCTAAGTTTTATGGTCTCGCCGGGATATTCTGCGCATTAACTGGAATATCTCCGCTTTTCTCAGGTGTTTGGTCGTTTTAACTCGGTATTTCCTAGTTGAATTGAATTAAGTGAGATTTACCGTTGTTTTGAAAGCATTTAGTAGTAGTAGTAGTAGTGAAGACAGTTTTAAGTACCACTCATAGTAACTGTAGTCTGTTATTTCTATTACTCAAATATTTTTGTTCAAGCGAACATTCGCCCTAAAGATTATCCCACGCTTCTTAAAGTTAAAAAAAATGTTTTTTAGTGCATAACTAAAATGCATTCAGGTAACATATTTCATTAACGCGGGAATAAATTAGCATTTCAAAAGAGCTTTCACGAGAAAAAAGCCGAAACATTAATAGAAACTGTAATACTTAGAGGTTTGAACATTCGAATATAAGTAGTCCGTAGAAAATTGCCTCTTCGAGAAACTAAAAAACGATCGTTTGTTTAAAAATCACTTTCTGTGCGAATAAAAATAAGTTGTAAGGTCTTTCTTTAGTACTGTACTATGTCCTAAGATACTAAGTACAATAGCTTATATCAGTCGGAGTAACATTTCAATCGATTTAGAGTTTTATTATCGGATGCATGAACAGAATATTTTTGCGCGTTTATCCGACACCAACCTTTGTCTAATATAGACATCCATTATCAAATGATTGCCACTTCCGTTTCCATTCTATTCATAAGATTGTTCCCGAACAAGCTATTCCATTAACAAAAGTGACAGCAGATTGGATTGAATAAGTACGGAACTACAGAATATCTTACATTTATTTACTTTGTCATAAACTCGGCACAACTCATGGCAGAATTCCAATCCGATGCTGGTTTACATTGGTTTACAACTCGTTTGCTTAATATTACAACCAAACAAGTTGTAAACCAGACACTTTTTCCAATGAATATAAATTATCAGTATTAGATGTTGGGCAGTGTGTACTGTGTACTGTATGTTGTAAAGATTTGACGACTTTGCAGTAAAATGCGGGATTTGTTGCGCTATCACGAGATTTGATGGTGATTACGGCTTAGGTTAGTCTTGAGCAGGATTATTTAAGAAAATAACCTCCTAGTCTACTAGCCAAGGTACTGTCTGTAGGTATAGTTTAAAAAAATAATAGAAACTAACTACCATTATTTTATTTCGGTTTTCTTTGCGTCACAAATGATTGTTATTTAAGTAGTTTTTAGGCTGGGTTGCACCATCTCACTTTAACTTTAACAAACGTCAAAAATATGTCAAACTCCATATAAAAAGCACCGGTTATCGTTATAATTACGGTCAAAGTTAGATGGTGGAATAATTAAAAAATGTTCATTAATAGAAACAATACTATCCCGGGTGAATTCTTATGCTTTCTCTGCCAGAATTAGTACCTTTTTGTGAAGTCCAAAGACAAATTATACAATTTAATTTGAACGCATGATAAATTGAGCTTCCGCAATCACTCTTTAATTAATGAATTTCCGGATTCAACTCTCATTTAAATGAATGTTTGACGATTAACACGGATTAGCGGTGAATTTGTGCAGGATCTCATTATGGGATGCGGGCTGGACTCATTAAAAATCACAAATTAATAATGTTGCAGAGGTGTGTCCGGTTTTTCCGCATAGCAACGATGCTTAAAATTAACTCTATAGAAAATAAAATAGATGAGTTAAAAAATAGAAAGAGACTGAAATAAGAAACATGTAAGTATAGTGTAAGAACAACACNGAGGAAAAAACGCTTAGATTTAATTGATTCTTTAGAAATTTATCATGATAAATTAGTGGAAAGTAGGTCAAATCATGCCTCTGACATTGAGCGGCTGGAGGCTGATATTGGTGATTTACATAAGTCTTTAGAACTTCTATCTTCTAAATACCACTCTGCCCAGGAACAAATTAAAGAACATATCCTGGCTGCAAATAATCTTTTGCAATTAAGTACATGTAAATTGCCAAAAAAGCATCAACCTAATGTTTGCCTTAGGCCATCATTGTCAAAACCATCTAGAAATGTCGTTATACTATCAGACAGTCTAGGGATAGGTTATGGGCCACTGTTACACAAAAAAATTGACTGCAATGTTTTGAATAATTGTATGCCAGATGCTTCTTTTGACCAGATAATGAATAGCCTACAACAAAGTAATTTAAATAGGGAATCTATACTAGTTCTTGTATTAGGAAGTTCACAGAGTATTAACAAAAGAAATGTTATTCACCACTTCTCTTCTCTCTGCCATCTTGATGTTAAAAAAGTAATTTTGTGTGCCTTGCCCTTCTGTAGAAATTATTCAAAGGAGAGGAATAACAGTATTCACTTATTGAATACTCAAATATTTAATTTATGTCAACGTCACAGCGAAAAATTTGTGTTTTTCGACACAAATAAATTTATTGATAAACAATTGACTGGCAGCCCTATACACCTGCCTCATAATTTAAGATCACAATTAGCTACTTTGTTAGCATACAATATTAATTGTATTTTTAATCATGACTGTTATCATTGGCAGGAAATAAAAGACTGTGTTGATGAACAGAGGTTTCCTGTATTTCCAATAATTAAAGTACTTAGTTGAAAATTCACACATCGTACATAGCAGTGAAAGCAATGAGCATAGCAATGGCCGGTCCTGTCATAGACCAAAGACCCAATTAGATTTGTAATCTATGACAGAACGCTGTTGTACTCTATTTAACTCACTTGATAATGCTACGGATATAACAGTCTTCCCCCAACAACATTTATTTCTGTTACAAAAATGCTAAGCTTTTATTTCAAGAACTAATAACTGTATCTAATCTAATATTATGCATTAAATAACAAAACTTAGTATAGTACTTTCTTACTCTATTATAGGTTTAATTTAACAACTTTTCTTTTTATTCTAGTACTTCTTCGTAAAGGGACCGCTTCACTCTCTGTGTTATTTCTACCCTCATCATTAAGTAACGGTATCTGAGATTCATCTCTTCCTCCCAGAACAGAAGGTTGAGCAATACAATTATCACTGTGATCATCGCTAGTATTATCAAAATTTTGATTGTTTGCTTCAACATTAGCAGAATTATTATTAGTACTCTCAACTTTATCATTGGTTGCTTCAACCCTCTCTTCTGAGTTACAATCGGTTGGCTTATATATAAAACTACTGCTAGGGCAATTATCATTAGAAATATAGTCATAGTCATTTATTGGTCTAAATTGCTGTTTTGGTATCTGACTGCCGACTCCCCTTATCTGATTTATGTGTCTACGCCATCTCTCCCCAGAATCTAGTTCAACTGTATAGTGTAATGAGCCTAATTTATTCAAAATAGTACCAAATTTCCATTTTTCCCGATCACTGTAATTTCTAGCTATAACTCGGTCCCCTACCTGTAATTTTCTTAACACATTGTGATTATTTTGTCCATTATTGACGTTTGGTTTGGGTAACAATAGTGACAACCGTGACCGGACTTTGTAGGAAAAAAGTAAATCAGCTGGAGATTTTTTTGTAGTAGTATGAGGGGTAATTCTGTACTGATGTAAAAAATGATTTAGTTTTTCGTGAATATTATTGTTGTTAGCTTTTAACGATCTTAACTTGTTTTTTAATATTTGAACGTGTCGCTCTGCTTGCCCGTTTGTGGCTGGGTTATAAGGGGCCGATCTCTTATGAAATATTCCTCGCTGTTTTAAAAACGCAGCAAATTTTGGGTTTACGAATTGAGTTCCATTATCACTAACTAGAACTTTAGGATAACCAAATCTAGAAAATATTTCATCTAAAGTTTTTATCGTGCTATCTGTATCAATTTTGTTAATTATGTAAATTTCTGGCCATTTCGAATAAGCATCAATTAATAAAAAGAAATATTTACCTAAAAATTTACCTGCAAAGTCAATATGAACTCGCTCAAATGGTTCTGAGGGATATTCCCAGTGGTGTTTCTCTACTTGTTTTGGGTTATTTTTTTGTTTGCAACAAGCTATACAGTTGTCTACCATTAATTTAATATCATCATCTATCTCTGGCCACCAGCAAAAACTTCGAGCGAGGAGTATCATTTTGTTAATACCGAAATGGCCACTGTGTAAATCATGTAAAACTTTCTTCCTTAAATTCACCGGTATTACTACTCTTTGGCCCCTCATAATACATCCGCTTTGAACAGAAAATTCACTTTGGTCAATGTTAAATCTGTCTTTAGGAGATAGTTTTTTACCTAATAATAAATTTTCCAATAGTATTTTTAATTGCACATCATTACAAGTTTCAGCAGCTAATTCTTGTACTGTTATTGGTAGGGTTGTGATCTGATTTATTTCAATAATATCAGATTCTTCACATAAGTTTGTTTCTTTCATTTGAATTGGTAAACGTGACAACCCATCAGCATTACTATTTTCTTTAGAAGATTTATATTTTATCTCATAGTTAAAAGTTTGTAAAAATATGGCATAATGTTGCATTCGAGTAGCCGACATGTGTGGTAATGGTTTGTTTGGAGCAAAAATTTGAACTAATGGCTTATTGTCTGACAGCAAAGTGAATTTTCTGCCATATAAATATTGAAAAAATTTCTTGACTCCAAATATTATAGCATATGCTTCCTTATCAATTTGAGACCATTTTCTTTGTGTTTTACTTAATGTTTGTGATGCCATTTGTATTGGTCTTTCAGTGCCATCTGGCATGACATGTGATATAACTGCACCTACTCCTATTGGCGAAGCATCAGTTGCCAAAATAATTGGTAATTTTGTAGAATAGTGTACAAGAAAAGTGTCAGATTGCATTTCCTTTTTTATTTTTTTAAAAGCTATGTCACAGTCAATCGTCCACTCCCATTTTGTTTCAAGTCTGAGTAGTTTATGTAGCGGTTCAAGTGTTGTGGCTAGGTTCCCTAAAAATCGCCCATAATAATTTACTAACCCTAAAAACGATTTTAGTTCTGTAATGTTTTTGGGTGGTGGGGCTTTTTGTATCGCATCTATCTTAGAGGGTAACTTATGTATCCCTAGTTTACTTATTTTGTAACCGCAATATTCTATTTCTTTTTGTAAAAAGCTTGATTTAGTTAAATTAATCTTTAATCCATATTCTGCAAGTCTAGAAAACACTAATTCTAATCTCTCTAAATGAACTTTGTCATTTTCCGCAGTAATTTGAATGTCATCGATGAATACAGCTATCCCTGGTATACCTTTTAATATATTTTCTATTTTCCTTTGCCATTTTGCAGGTGCACAGTTTAAACCATACATTAAGCGTGTACATTTATAAAGTCCTTTATGTGTGTTAAGAGTGAGATATTTTTGATCCTTTTCCCGGACTTTCCATTGTAGGTACGCACATTTTAAGTCAATTTTGGAGAATTTTTCCCCACCAGCAAGTCCCGAAAACAATTCCTCTGTAGTAGGCAGAGGGTGTTCATCTACTACTATTTGAGAATTTAAACTGACCTTAAAATCACCACAAATGCGAACCTCGCCATTTGGTTTTGGTACTGCAACAATAGGTGTGGCAAACTCACTATAATCAACCTTTAATAAAATACCTTGTCTTTCTAATCTATCTAGCTCTCTCCCTACTTTGTCTCGCAAGGCAAAAGGTACAGGCCTTGCTCTAAAAAATGTTGGCTTTGCTCCTTCTTTTAATTGAATTGACACAGGTTCTCCTTTTATTTCACCTAAACAAGAGTCATCAAATAATATGCTATATTTCTTTAATAAGCTGCCTAGTGCATGGTTGTTAGAGTCATTACTAAAATTTACTGAGTTTACCTTTAAGATATCAGTTATTCTACCTTGGAAAAAATGACGTAGCCACTGACGACCAAACAAAGGGGTGTTGTTGTCCACATCAGATACCACGAACAGCTTCAGGTTTCTCTGCTTTTCATTTTGTATCTCCACCTCTACGGTAGCAACTCCTACAACATGTAATAAATTATTAGAATAAGAACGCAACCTAATTTTTGTTTTTTCCAATTTAAGAAAAGGGAATTTTCTAAGAAACTCATTGTGTTCTATAATTGATACTGCAGCTCCACTGTCTAATTCCATATTAGTAGGTATTCCATTTATTTTTGTTTTAATAATGATTTTGTCAGAATCCACTTTATTAATACACTGTACCTGGTATTCTTCTTGTTCTTCTACTGCATTGCACTCTTTTGTCTCTCTTCTCAGTTTTAAACACGATCTCTTCAAATGTCCTTTCTTCTTGCAATAACTGCATTCCGCATCTAAATTACGTTACGTTTCCAAGGTCAGGGAACCGGGTGCCGGCTAATAAGGGGGCCAGCGCCCACACACAATTTATTTCATGGCGCGTAAAGAAACCTCTTGTCACAGCGTCTTCAGAGGGCCGGAGGGAAGGGGCGTCCACGTCAGCGCCCCCTGGCGTTAAGCACATGACACACTGACACTGTTAAATACCTGTCAGTTATTTTATCTGTTGGTTAGTTGTTGTTAAATAAAGAATAGGTATTTGACACCACCAATCAATTGACGTACTTTTTATGAACTGTCAAAATGAGACTTCCATAGATTTTGTAGGAAAATACAAGCCAGTGACGTCACTATTTTGCCAAATTGACTAATTTTAAAAGGTTAGGTAATCGGGTGCCAGCTCGTTCGTTCGTTTCAGCCGAAAGACGTCCACTGCCTGGAACAAGGCCTCCCCCAAAGATTTCCACAAAGACCGGTCCTACGCCGCTCGCACCCAGGCACCGCGACCTTCACCAGATCGTCGATCCACCTAGTAGGAGGCCTGCCCACGCTACGTCTTCCGGATCGTGGTCGCCAGTGGGTGCCAGCTAATAAGCACACAATTTATTTTATGGCGCGTAAAGAAACCTCTCGACACGGCGTCCTCAGAGGGCCGGAGGGAAGGGGCGTCCACGTCAGGACCCCCTGGCGTTAAGCACATGACATACTGACACTGTCTGTCAAATACACTCGGCATCATATAAGTCGCATCTCCCGCAACAAGCACTTCTCAAACATATGCATCCCCACTTCCCACCAACATTGGTTCCATTTGAAAGCCTAGTTCTAAACTTCATTTCATTAAAGGAAAGGTTTTCACCCCAAAAATGTCTCTTAGAAAGATCCAGAGCCACTTCTTCAAAAAATAGGTAGTTACGCTTCAGCCAAATTTTATGGCTACAAAACTGTTAAATTGGGATCGATCGCTATCCATCTGTTAAAAAGGACACGTAAAATCATTATTTGGTTTTATAACCAGAAAAATTGTTATAATTGATTCCAGAGATGAGCCCCAAGTGAGGCCTTTTTTCAAGTCACATTTATGGTACCTGTTAATTGTTTATAATAAAATTTAATGTGTTTTTCTTTAAGTTTATTTATTGGGCTTTCAAATAACACCAATATTGTTGGGGCACCATGATTATGTCAGAAGAAAATCTTGTATGTGCGTGCGATTTATCTGATGTTGAGTATATTTGTCTCATTTTAATATCCTACTGGTTGTTGAGTCGGCCACAAAAGTGCTTTTAAGTGTGCGCATCTCTCGAAACACCACTCAATATTGTTTTTAAACGTTTATTTTTGCGACATCTTTGTCCTTCTTTTCCTGGGTCTAATTTTTTTCTATTTTGGATAAAAAAAAATTACAACTGACTGACAATATGAAAAATTTATACAAAGTTAAAATTTTAATGAAAAAATTAACGTCGCTATTCTTATGGTGAGCTTTTAGTGTTATTGTATTTCATGTAAACCAAATTATTAGTTTCCAATTTATTAATATGCTGATTTTATTTAATAGGCGTATCACACAATTTTCCGTTTAAATTGGTTAGATTCTCGTTCTCTCAGTGTGTCGCGCCCTTTAGCAGTTCTTTAGTGCGTGCTGGGAGACTTGACCTATTTGTGGCCACTTGAGTTTTCGACGAAACTTGACATTTATTTTAAAATTATGAGGCCTTTTGGCTGTACTGGTTTAAGTAAGCGTTCAAATGCGTGAGAGATTTCGCTCCTTAATGATCCTTTTGTTGGTTTTTGCGTTCAATTTGTAGATGAGCCGAAGTAAGAACCTAATAAAGTAATGAAGTGAAGTGTTTCTAAAAAGTCTACTGATACGTTGCTTGTTAAAAAAATCAAATTGGATCCAGGATCCATATACTTGTGTTTGCCAACTTTGACCTTTAGTCCCAGAAATTATCATATCACTGATTTATTATGTCACAAAAAGCTTTCCCTGTATGTTTAAATTAATCATATGACCTGGAAGTATAACCACGCGAACCTTCACAAACTCTACAAAAAGTATTTCTTCAAAACGTAAAATGCGTTTGAAATTCTAATCGCAACCCGAATTCCAAACCTTGTCGGTGTTTACAAATCTCAAAGTCGATAGCCCTCAGAGTAAGTAGCATCTTGACAGAAAAGGGGCTTGGAAGAGCCAAACTAGGCGGCTCTGGCGACTCTGGCGGCTCTGGCACCAAGCCATGCCTGAGATTTTATGGCTATTACATTTTCATAGCTAATCCGCATCAAATTTGTTGCAAAAAGACCAAGTCTGGATCAAGATTTATGTGCTTGAATAATCATTCCTTAATTTTTCATCAGGCTAAGATTTAGGTATATCTTGAATAATGTCTGAAAATTTTTTAGAGGCATTAAAAGGCAGTTGAAATAATTTTCAGTTTAGGCTAAAAGTTAATCAAATAATCCATCTGAACGTTTGTGACATATACTAAGATAATATAGCAATGAACTGTTTAATTTTTAGAGTCAAGAGTTAGTGAAGAATACGATTTTAAACAGGGCAGACTGGTAGGGCAAAAAAAAATTAATGAGACATGTATGTATAGGCTCCTTAAGAGTATTTGACGATTTGTAAGTAGTCATTTAATTAGTCTAACTCTAAACAAATAAAGATAATTTTGATTTTGATAATTATTCCTACCTAACAAAATTAAAAACACAGTCATCTAAACGTTTTTCCCGAGTAAATACTGAAAAAATGACTTGTGCTCGTCTAATAAACGTATTGTATGTATAATGCATATAAATGAGTCCATTGTTGCTCCCTCACAAAACTTGCAAGGCCTGAAAATAATATAAAAAGCCCGCATCGTACAGTATTAAAAAGAAACATTTCACACCATAACAAAACACGGTGTGCAACAATAAACCATGAAAGAAGCAGGTTTATTTCCGGAGAAAAATGAGGAATGCCCTTATTATACGGGATTGTGGAGGGCAACTGGCTCGAAACAATTTAGCAAAGATGCTGGAGTATGAATGTAGGTTTATGTGGGCCGACTATGTTGTCTATGCTGTTAAATGTGGCCGCGAAAGAGAGTTTTTAAGCCACTAAGATGTTTACCGACCGAACGAGATGGAGGAGTGTTGTGGACGCCCTCTGCCCCATCTAGGGGACATAGGACCTTAAGTCAAGTAAGTCAAGATGTTTATAATGTGTATCTAATTGAAAAAGAGCCTGACAAAGGTGAATGAGTTTCTTCCACCACTTCTTCTCAGCACCAGCCCATAATTATGTTGTCCCGAAGTAGTGGTAAGGCAAGCTATATTTGGGACGTGTATAAGCACTGTTAGTACTAAATAAAATATTTGTTTTGATTTGTAAGAAATTAATGCCATAAAAATTTTCAACAAAATTCTATTAAAATTCTGTGCCCGACAGGGTTAACCAATCATAGCAACCCTTTTAACATTATGGATGCTATAAATAATTGAGAATACGTTTCCTCTGCAAGTCAAACAGTGTCAATATTGTGTGGCTTCATGTTTCTCAATTATAAGAGCATTTACATAATAAAATTACTCGTATGTCTTTAGTGCAGGGTTTCCCAAACTATGGGTCGCGACCCAGTGGTGGGTCACGAGTGAACATTGAGTGGGCCCTGCCTGTAGAACGACACACCACCCTACCGATCCAACTGCTGGGCAGCGGGAGAAATTTCCTATAGGTGGGTCCCAAGTTTGGGAACTTGTATTAGATGAGTCGTAGCCCAGACAACTTTGGGAACCACTGCTTTAGTGAAAACGAAATCATTTACACATATATCAAGCTTTCCTCGAAGACTTTCGCTGTAAACCTTTTAAATACATTTCGCATTTCACAAGTTTAGGCAAATTAAGGAAAGGGACGTGTCCCTTGACGAGGGTGCCTCAGTTCCACACTATGTTTGATTAAAGGCTTCACACACAACTCTAATGGCTGATTTATGTAGTATGTACAGTCTGTACACTGCGGCATCTTATTGCGTTGTAGTAGGTGTGATTTTCCAATAACAAATTTAAGTCTGATGAGCGGTTGGTTGTACGTAGTTAATCCTGTTTACCTATGTCAGGAGGCCATCAGATGATTACGTTTATGTGCCAAAACACACACGGATTAAGAGCCATTATTTAAATATAATTAAACATAATACAAGCCGGCTGACATGTGATTTGCATACTGGACTAGAAAGTTGCGAATTCATGATTGATGAATGATTCTATGATTATCTAATATCTTAATACAAAGTCTCCTTGGCCTAAATAATTAGTATGATACTTGAATAAGTTCACTTACATTTACGTCCGTATTCACAAACGATACTTGCAGAAGTGAAGCAGCAAATCGAACGCACAGCGTTGAATAGACCTCTGTGATAGATTCGTGTGTCACCCTGTGCGTCCATGCGCACTGTGAGACGTCATAGTAGTGTGTGGGTGGTAAAGTGCTTTATGGTGAGCTCACTCGTGATACAAGCATATTTAGCTTAGTACGAGGGGCTAACGGTTAACTAATAATCTTTAAAAAAAAGTGCTAAATCGGTAGTGAATGAATTGTATGTATTAAAACTAACCCTTTATAAACCGAGTGGGCTTAATATAAAAAAGGCGTCTATTTGCCGCGGCTCCATGGGTCAACATAAATCTCCCGTCTGTCAATATAAGCCGGCCTACCTGTTGGTAGGATTTGCCGGTCAACCGGAACATTGGCCCGGCTAAACCGTAAATAATAAGGGCCAAAATATCGGCAAATGGTGTGAGAATGTTTATAAATGTAGTGAGGAATAGTGTGTATTTTTAGACTTCCGTAGAGCTCTTGGAAACAGGTTCGGATGTTTTAGAATTTTAATTTAGATCTTATATCACGCTTGAACAGGTTTTCTTGATAAAAAGCACTCGATCAAGTTCTCTTTGAAACAAAACAGATATCACACCACATGGCTATATGCCAGTACCTTAAAGTAAAACCTTT